CTCTTGGGTAGAAGGATTACATCCTTTCTTAATTGCTTCAATTATTATTCTTTTTTTTGTTGCAGTATCATTGTTATTGTTTTCTTTATTCTCTTTCTATTAGTTTACGTTACGTTAAGCTCACTCGAGGTCCTAAAGGATTAGGTTTCTCAGTAGCTGGTGGTAAGGGAAGTCCTAATGGGGACCTCCCTATATGTATCCGCTCAGTGATCCCTGAGTGTACAGCTGCTAGAGATGGGCGGATCAGACAGGGTGATGTTATACTCTCTGTTAATGGAATCAGTTTCGAGAATATTTCACATAAAGTTGCTGTGGAAACCTTAACTCGTTTCCGTGGAGATATAACACTGAAGCTGTGCTCACCTTGAAAAGTGAAACTTTCACTAATTATTGTGCATATTCAATTTTAATATTAATTTTTGAACAAAACTACAATTTATTACTATTTTTAAAACACATAATTCACTTTTCAAATTTAAATTGAATTCATCTCACTATTGGTTCGTTTGCACATGTTTCCCACGTTCTAAATAAGTAGAATAACTCACTGTTGAAATTTAAAATCGAATTCATCCCATAGGGCCCATATTGGTTCATTTGCACGTGCTTCCCACGTTCTAAATAAGTAGGATAACTCGCTGTTGAAATTTAAAATCGAATTCATCCCATAGGGCCCATATTGGTTCGTTTGCAAGTGTTTCCCACGTTCTAAATAAGTAGAATAACTCACTGTTGAAATTTAAAATCGAATCCATCCCATAGGGCCCATATTGGTTCATTTGCAAGTGTTTCCCACGTTCTAAATAAGTAGAATAACTTGGGATTTTATAACTCTTATGTGTTCGTAGTTCATACCTGCTCCTCTTCGTCCCACAATGGTCCCACTTCGAGTTGGTCCATTATGCCATTTATCGCTGCTAGTAATGGCCGTAAAGCGAGTGAAGAGCTTAGTCTCGTGTTTTCTCTGGAATCTGTTAGGTTAGTTTTTTGTTCTGGCCCTTTGTTGAATATGAAAATTATTGTAAAAATGTCATTATGACAGATCTGTTATAATTAGCACATCATTATGTGTTATAATAAAGTACAAGCGATGTAGGAATTATGAACTGATATGTTCTCTTTGATGTCTCTTTTGAAAGAGAAATTCATTGAAGCTAGATCTAAACAGCGGAATTTCCTGTTTGCATACCCTCTGTGGCTTACCACTCTGGCCTACTATACCTATTTGCTAATTATGCAAACACAGACTATAGACCCCCTATAGGTGCTAAGACTATTTTGAATGAGTTATTTACGGTAGCCATCCACGATTAAAATTACTGACGGTAAGAAGCTCTCCACATCAAAGGCAGATCAAAGCCCAAAGTGCTGAAATGAAGCATAGCAAGAAAACTATGTTGCAGCAACAGTTACCTGGTCTATATAATGTAGTCTGGCCTCCATACTTTCCATAAATGCTGCTTGTAAGCCTGTAGTACCTTGTAGCGCTCACAAAAATGGCCGGGCGGTGTCACCGCCTTTGATTTTCTTTTGATCTTGAGGCCTTCTTGCCGTCAGTAATTTACATTGTGGGTGGATACCGTATAGGAAAATTTTATTTATTATGAATGAATATTATTATTGTAATCATATTCATTGAAAATCGTCTTAGCTCCTAGGGGGTCTATAATGGGCCCTTTAGCTTTTTTTTTGGTTTTTCTGTCCTATTGTATGGCTCACTCAATTGGTAATTTTAGACTAAATAATGTTTATCTTGCAAACTAAGTTGCATTTCTTTCTATTGTGGAGTGTTTATTTGGCTATTATTTATTGATGCATTTTTGGTCAGTACAAGTTATACTTTCATTTTCATTCTTGTTACATTTAACTGTAGGATCACTTTCTTTTGCTGCTGTAAATTCTGTCAGTAATTACATAGTCGACAGCACAGAGTGGCAAATTGTCTTGTGCTTGATATTTTCTGTTATATTTGCAGCATATAAATGTTACTGTCATGTCAAGGAGAAACAGAAGCAAAATTCCAGCCAAAAATCTGAGTCTAATGTATGCAATGCAGCAGAGTACCATGAATTGTGTGAAAGTCAAACCCGTTTGTCGAGAGATCATGAAACCAGTAAAAGAACTATTGCTGATTTGAGGGAAGAGAATAAGAAATTAAAGAAGCAAGGAAGGGACAAAGATCTTGCTTTAGCTCAAATGACAAAGAAGCATGCTAAGGAGCTACGCTTGAAAGAGGAAGCATTGAAGCAAAAAAACCAGCGTAAACTAGAAATTCTGAGGCAAAGAGAAGAGATTAATAACCTCACAGACGAACTTAATGAGGCAAATAATGAGGCAAATAATCAGTCATCATCTCTAAATGAACAATTAATCCAGACACAGCAGCAATCGGATGCACAAGTCGCTTCTTTAGAAGATAAACTTGCCAAACGTAATGAAGCAATAGCATCTCTGGAAGATCATTTGAGCGCCAAAGACTTGGAACTGAGCCAGCTGCAAGAAGAGCTCACTGCTAGTAGGAGTAAAGCCACTTCTTTAGAGCAAGAAATAAGGCAGCACGAGGAAGCACTCAAAACAGCGATAGAACATGTTTTTACAAATGTGGATGATCTCTGTGCAATGTATAACATGACTTGTGATCATCTGGTGCATCATTTAAAGTGCTTACCTCCTCCACAGTTAGTAGTTTGTTCTGCTCCTGTGTTTCAGTGCAACAATCGCTATAGCTTAGAAGGGTACGTTATACTACTCATTTATTAAATTAAGTTATTATTTTTTGTAGGGATGATGTCTGTGAGCTGTCTGAAAGAGATGGTGAGCAATACATATATACACATAGCTATAACCAATTATTATTATGGTTTCATTGTTGTTTTTAGATGAAGGAGAGCTCTTCATTCCTCCTGATCATAATAATTCTCAGTACACTCATCATGCTCTAGTGACAAGCACCCTGTCAATTGATGAATGGAACTAGTAAGAATAATGATTGTGTGAATGTTATCTACATGTACTTGTATATGTGTAATCATTGGTACAGGGATTTCAGCAAAATTTTACCAAAAATGAAAAGGAGAACATTCTCTATTGTTATGATATATTTTGATGTATATACATGTCCTTGTGTTGTGTAGAAAATTTGAGCTGGTTCCAATCAAAATTGGATTTTTTATGAATTTTTAAAGTCGTTCAAAATTGTACAAGTTACCTTATAGCATTCCGTGTGTATGTATGTACATAAAGAGGTTGACCTTTAGCATTCCAATTGACCATAATGACTGAACTTTTGTCCTTTGATAAGCAGCTACTTAATCATAATTTCCTTTCATTGTAGTTATTATTATATTCCAATGGAAGCAACCAGCTACTGTTCCCAAGTATCCACTGGTCAGTGTTACTATACACTGTCTTACTGTGTATTAATGTAATATTATTAATAGATTTACCTCCTTTGGACTTTATACCATTTAGCTTGCAATTTTCAAAATACCAAGGTAAGCCTGTCCAATAGTTATATAGTTTGTATAGTGATGTTTTTAACTTTTTATACACTTTTAGATCGATTAGTTGTGTCTCCTGTATTTCTTCCATTCCCTCCTCCGGCACCTCTCGCTGAACTTCACTTAATCCCAACATAGCTAGGCAACTTTCAACTTGTGGTCAGAGCTTTAATGTAGTTGGTTGCAACATGTTTTATATAAAGTAAAGTGGCTCTTTATTTTCAGTGACAAGTTACCTGACGGCATCAAAAGTTCTGGCAACAAAGTTACCTAGTGTATGTTGGACTAGTAAAAGGAATTCATTGAAATCATTGCACTCCAAGTCTCCCAGCTGTACTATACTATTGTATCATTCCTTGTCAGTTTCCATGGAGATATAACACTGAAGCCATGTTTGCCATAGCATATCAATTTTATTTTTTAACATTATTATTATTATTATTATTATTATTATTATTATTATTATTATTATTATTATTATTATTATTATTATTATTATTATTATTATTATTATTATTATTATTATTATTATTATTATTATTTTAGAGCTACAGCAAGGAATCATTATTTTTGTGTTTTTAATATTTTCTGTCATCTGTATCAATTATGAACAAACGTACACCTCCATTTAACGGACAGCACCTAGTGTACCAATTACATTCCTTACTGTATAAAATAACCTCCACATAAAAGGACACTTTGGCTTTGTTTATAGCCACCCACCCATTCAGCTCATGAATTGAATTAACACTTGAGCACGATGCGTGAGCTCCGTCTTGTTGTGTCCCTCTCTCTTGTCTCTGGTCGTATTTGTTGTTCTTTATAAGTCAAGTACCACACTGTGACCACTGGAAGTTTTAACATGGCTGTAATAGTCTCCTTTCTTTTGATTTCCATCTTGACCGTCGGTTAGTTTCAACATAGTTAGTAGTCAATAGTTTAGTCCCGAGTTTAGTCCCTCTTCCCCCCCCCCCACTTTTGTATGTAATGTGCAAATAGACTCAGCCAATACTTTTCTCTTTAATATGAATAGGATTGTATGCATTTTAAATATTTTTTGTCAGTTGACCTTTGTAGAGAGTAGAGGCATTTTCCTTGTTTCCTCATATACACAACTGGCATAGTATTAAGCAGTGTCTACTTGTATAGTATTATTTGCAAACAAGGATCAGTTTAGTAGTTTGTCTGCTTTGTAATTAATTAAGAGAGTGAGTTACGATATCAAGTTACCTTATCTTTATTAATTTTTTAAATGGTCATATTTTGTGCTATATTATATAGGTACACTTGCTATTTTTACACTTACATTAATTTTTACATTTAGCGGCCATTACTGGACAGCTGGCCTTGTACATGGCTGTGTTTCTTTTTGTGGCGTTTAAGAATCTTCGTCATTACATCAGAGAGAGAAGAAAAGAGAAAAAATCTAAACAAACAACACATCACTGTGTTAGTTGCATGGACTATCATAAGATTCTGAAGAGCCAGAGCCATTTGTGGAATTACTACATAACTACTAAAAGGGCTAATAGGGACTTAAGAGAAGAAATCAGAAAATTAACAAAGCAATTAAAGGACAAGGATCTTGCTTTAGAGCAGATAACAAAGAAGTACACCAGTTTGAAAAGGGAGGTACATGTGAAAGATGAAAAACTGAAATATGGGAAGCAACAGCGTAACCAGCTGGAAGAAGAACTCACTAATAAAGTCACTTCTTTGGAGGAAACTTTAAACAAGAAAGAACAGGCACTTAAAACAGCGATAGAACATGTCATTTCAGATTTAGATGATCTCTGCACGATACACAATGATTCTTTGGAACAAAGTGTTGATGAAACTTCAAATTTGAATCATGAGACATGTCACTTGCCAAGTCCAACAGAGTCAGGTGTGTGCCTCCCTACTCCAAAAGAAGAAGAAGAAGAGTATGTTGATACATTCACTAATAATATTAATGTTTACTTTTAGTTTTCCTAGAAATGACATTACCGACCTGTCTGATGGTAGGTTCCATTTTGTGTCAGTATTGATTGATTGTTGTCATTATATCAAGAGTAAACAACAGGGACTCTTCATTGTGGTCATTGACAAATCATTGTAAGGTTTCTTTTGTTGTTTTTAGTTGAAGAGGCCAGTCCTCCTGATCACTTTAATTCACAGTACAGTCATCATGCTTTAGTGACAAACAACCTCTTCATTGATGAATGGAACTAGTAAGAATAAGAACAATAGTCTTGTAATCTCTTGTATATTTTGATGTTAACTATTATGTGTCGGACTGACTGTTCAATGTTCATTGGTAATTGAGAACAACACAGTTGCTGCCATTTATAGACTATATAATGTGTAATGTGTGGAGATTAATATTGTGCTTCTTGTTAGTGTAGATTTTAAAACTTGCTCCAAAATCGGACCAAAGTCCCTGTACTATAGTACATGGTCTCGGGCCAAATTTTCCCAAAAATGAAAAGGAGAGAATTCTCCATTTTTATTACATTTCCTGATACATATACATGTACTTATGTTGCATAGAAAGTTG